TATTTCATATATGCTACCCGCGGGTCGTGCGGACCGACTAACTACAAGTCAAAATATTTTTTGTCTATCGCAAAACGGACTTAACGGGATGAATCAACTCGCTTTGACAGTTCTAATGGGAATATTATTTAGTCATACAATAAAATGAAGTTTTGACATAGTAATAATAGAATATGTATCTTATTTGTTAGATGAGAGATTGAAAGATGAAGTATAATGATTAAAAATTAATTATTATTTTTCATGATTCACAAAATTTAATAAATACTTATCATCTTGTTGAATAATTCTAAAATCATATTCAAGAAATCTTTATAAATTGAAAATTAAACTTCTTTGGTAAGCTATAGGTATGAAAATATCATAATTTCGATTTAATCTAATTAAATTAATTAGTTACATGGATTTCATATCTATTTAATTTATACGACCAAAATAAAAATATCTATTTAATTTACACGACCAAAATAAAAATATCAATTTAATTTATAAAACAGATGGGTTATTTATGATAAATTTTCTACAAATCTTTAGAAGCAAGTAAAATATCTTTTAATTAATGATAATTGGCTAAAATGAGCGAAATTAATGACAAAAACGTTGATTGTTATGGAATTAGTCCCAAAAATATATGAACAAATTTATTATACGTAATTAATGTATAATATTGTTTGGAATATGCTTTTATTATTAGTTACCATAAGTACAATCAGATTTTATTTGATTTCCATAAATATTTGATTTTATTTCGATTTTTCATTATTAATTCGAATTTATATTTCAAAAAAATTTCAAAGATCCGATTTCAGAATTTCGGATCAATTTTCTGATTCTAACCCGACCCATTTTCATTTGTACTTCTCTTTTAATAATATAGAGATAGATTTCAAATCTACCAAAACAGAAAACAACAAAAGTTTTATGTTGTGCTTATGATCAACAATAATCATATAGTACTAGATATGTACCGCGGGTCTATATTTTCCCTAAATAAAAAAATGATTTTTTAGAATGATCTATAGATATATGGTAAACCGCATGTCAATATTTTATAACTAAAAAATCAAAATTTAAGTTGTATTTTTTTTATTTAGTGTTTAAGATTGTATAATTGTATTTTTATCGCTAATTCTAGGATTTCACTTGTAATATACCATCCCATATTAATATCGATCTAAATCCGTCCCACTATATAACCCCGTCCCGTGAAATTATACATCATTTTTGTAATTTTTTTTATAAAGTTCAAATATTTCTAATATTTTGAAACTTCATAAAAGTTTTAATACGACCCAAACTTCATAATTGTATTTTGATTGTTATATCTAGGATTTCACCCGTAGTATACCGTCTCGTATTAATATCTTTTATAAATATTTATAATGTTTAAACTACTTATAAATTCTTATAAAATTCAATATTTATAATATTTGAAACTTCATAAAAGTTATAATATTATAAATAATTAAAACGTTTAATAAAGTTAGACTTTTTTATAGTTTGTATTTTCATTTTTTATTTTTTCTTTTAAGTTTTTTAAAAATCAATGCTATCAAACTGTAGTTATCTTATATATATATTAAGATTATCATTAAACATGAAGATTTACCTAGAAAAAATAGGGTGAATAAAAAAAACTAACCATATGAAAGAATCTGACGTAAATTTAAAGCATATGCTCTTGATAATGGCAATCATCAATGAGTTGCTCATCTTGTATAGGATTATCTGCGCAAGACATCAAATGTTTATTAAATTCATGAATCAGAAAAATGAAAGTTCATATAACAAATAAAGATTGGAATGGGTAAGAAGAGGTATTTGTTTGATGAGTCTTCTAGTCGAGTAAAAGTGTGGTATTTATAGGGTAGGTAGGCATCTAAGTTTATTGTTAAGGTAGTTTGATAATCTTGGAGAGAAAGTAGAAAATCAAAGATATTATATACAACGAAAGTTTTGGATATGTTTAAGGAAAGATTAGGAAATCGTTATATAACAAAATTTATTTGAAAAAGATTGTAAATGATTTGGTTTTGCAGAGAATCTTAAAAAAAAGCTAAGCAACCATTTAAAAGGAATATAGCCGATTAATGTGGTAATTAGTTTAGGAAATTACATTAAACCGAATTAAAAAAATAATTAGAGTCATAACTTTGTTTCTTAAAATCAAATGTTAAGAAAAATATCGGAAAGTATATAATTATGGTATCATCGTTGAGATTTTCTTGGGCGGGAATTATGGATTCAATTAGAGAAGAGAACCATATAATGGAAAGAATTTAATTAGCCATAATTATGTTTTAAAAATATTTTATTGCATAATATAAAGAGAATATAGATGATATATGGTATGGATGTAATTAGTTAAGATGGCATAAATATTCGAAAATCATCTCGAGATAAAGAGTAATATAGCCTATTAATATGAGAAGAAGTTAAGGAATAAGGAAACATAAATATATGCGTAATTATCTATATTAATGACGTTTTTTTGGTTAGAGATATGTAGAATTAAATGATAATTTGGTATTAATTAAATGCTATCAAATATCTCGGAGATTTTATTTTAGAAACTAATCGTGGACTAAGCAGAGATTTTTGCAAGATTCGTAAACGAAAAATATTAAATGCTACTATTGATAAAAAGGAATAGAACCAATTAATGTGGGAAGTAGTTAAGGAAATAAGATAAAAATGAATTGTATGTTTAATTTAGTCTTAAATGTCGTTTTTATTACAATATTCCTTAAATCTCTTATTCTAGATCCGAATAGGTTTAAACCGGGTAAAACCCGGATCCAAATGATTAAAAGCAAAAAAAAACCTGTAAAAATGTATATGTAGATATGAGTTTAATACCATTAAATTAATCAAAGATTTGTAATCATAATTGGAAACGAATAATGCAGTAAATGCGATTTAGTAATATTGTAAAGAATATGCCATTTATGTAGAATGATTGTTGCGATTAGTTTCCAATTAGTTTTACTTTTGGGATTATAGTATCTCAAATTTTAAACTAATTTAGATTTTATTGTTCTGTTTACATAAATATGAAAATAATTTGTTCACCCACATCATAAAATATTACCAAAATATATATATATTACGTAATATTAAATAAAAGATTATATAACTAACTATTTTCATTTGATGGTGTAGAAAAATTATTATTAATATTTATGTAATTTAATTACAAAAATAATTTAGAAAAATAACAAATATTACTTTTTATAACAAAACAAAATATTATTCGTAAAAACAATATTTATTATAAAAAATATTTTGAGAATCCTTTAGAAATTTAATATTAGATATTCAAATATATCAAAAACATAATTACGGATTATGTGAAGATTAGGATATATAATCTTCAAATAAACATATTTTATTATGATTTCCTTATGAATGTATATATTAATTGTTATTTTGATTTTAAATTTATTACAATTTAAATGGGGAATTGCCTATATTTAATCTGTTATTGTAAAAGAAAAATGACGTAGCTTATTATTGGAGTATTTACACAAATTTATTAACATAATATATATATATATTAACATAATATATATATATATATATATACTGTTAAAAATAAATACATTTTTCTTTATAATTTCATAATATATTTATTGTTAAAATCTGGACATTTCTTATGAGCATAAATATGAAAAACGATTTTCCATTAAAATTGGCTATTTATTAGGGTCATTAATATGAAAGATTATTTACCATTAAAATAGGTAACTTCTTTGTAATTAAAGAAACATTAAACGGAATAAGTAGATGAATTAAAGACAACATGGCTTCATTTATCAGTTTGAAATTAAGACAACATTCCTAAAATTCCTTATCCAAGATCCGGATAGAGTTAAACCCGGGTAAAACCCGGATCCAAATGAATTAATGCAAAAAAACTCTATAAAAATGTATATGTAGATTGTTATTTTGATTTTAAATTTATTGCAATTTAAATGGGCAATTGCCTATATTTAATCTGTTATTGTAAAAGAAAAATGACATAGCTTTATTAGAATATTAAACAAATTTATTAACATAATATATATATATATATACTGTTAAAAATTAAATACGTTTTTTTCTTTATAATTTCATAATATATGTATATATTGTTAAAATCTGGACATTTATTATGAGCATAAATATGAAAACGATTTTCCATTAAAATCGGCTATTTATTAGGGTCATTATTATGAAAGATATTAAGACAACATGACTTCATTTATTAGTTTGAAATTAAGACAACATCCCTTAAATTGCTAATCCAAGATCCGAATAGACTAAAACCCGGGTCAAACCCGGATCCAAAAGAATTAAAGCAAAAAAGTACTATAAAAATGTATATGTAGATATATAATACGTAGTCTGCATTTAATATACACCGAACCAATTACACCATTATATAAAACCACGAATTATAAATTAATTTATAAATAATTACAAAAAAAATTGATATTAAGAAAAAACAAAAATAAGAACCTATGTATATTATTATAGGAAAAACAAAAGTCATATACGTATTTTTTTTTAACGTCTGGATTTATTATTTATTGCAAATTATGAGAACTGTTACATAGACGATTCTACAACGGACAATTCCTTCCGACCCTTATTAGATCTACGACAGACGACACATTCTTCACCTTCTTCTTCGTACTCACCTCCTTCACCTTTTTCTTTATGCTCTTGATGGACACTTCCCTCACTGCGTAGAATCTTGGCGAATGGCTATAATTGTAAATCGCTGGAGATCTCTTGCACACTTGCCTCCAATAATCAGCAAATTTATTAATAAATCGCAGTATCTGGGACTCGAACCCCAGACCTCTAGATGTGGAAGCATTAATTAACCCTTGTTCAACCAATGGGTCAAGGGGACTTTCACAGTCATATACGTATTTAATATTGGAAAACGAAAAATGGAATTTTGAAAAATAGAAAATTTTCTAATATATAAACTAGACAAAGAAGAATGGAAATTTGTAGTATATCTAGGACCGGACATAACGTATATTGTTTATCTTTCACTTTCAATTTAGGACCGGACATAACGTATATTGTTAATTTTCATCTTTCACTTTCTTCTGCATCGTATTCGATTCTTTTCTTTTAACGCCTCCCTACATCTCTTCTCCCTCGATCGGCTCCTATCTGGGTTCGTTTCTCTGATTTCTGATTTATGGGTTTGATTTCATGATTATTGATCACTGATAGTTGTAGTTTGAATCTGATTTCTGAGTTTGATTTCTAGATTTGATTTTTGATTTCTGGGTTTGATTTCATGATTATTGATCACTGATAGTTGTAGTTTGAATCTGATTTCTGGGTTTGATTTCTAGATCACTGATTACTGCTGCTTCAGTCACACAACCTAGGAAGATTTTGCTTTGAAGTTGTTAGGGTTGCCATGAAAAATCTTGAAACACAATCTTCGGGAATAGAAATCCCAATCGATGTCCTCATGGATATATTTTCGAGAGTTCCTGCAAAGTCTATAGCTATGTTTCGTTGCGTATCGAAATTCTGGGATTCAATACTTTGCCATCCTGATTTCACAGAGTTGTATATGAATACGTCTTCGATTCGTCAACCTCTGCTCTTTTTCACCTTGGAAGATAATGGCAAGTTGTTCTTCTTCTCTTCACCTCACCCTCAGAATCCTCCAGATGAGAACACATCTCTTGTACCCACCCGTTATCATGTTCACCATAACCATTCTCCTACAGATTTTTCATCTGAAGTTAGTTTTCCTCTTCGTGGATTCGTCTGTAGTCGAGATAAGGGAAGTCTAGATACTATGGTTATTTGCAACCCTGTCACAGGAGAGTTTGTATCCTTACCTAAGGTGGAGTTGAAGAGTGTTAATACTGAGACAAGACCTTATTTAGGGTATGATCCGATCGACAAACAGTTAAAAGTATTGTGCATCAAGTTCGATGATATCCCAAATACGTGTGATGAGCATCAAGTTTTGACATTGGAGAATGGAAAACATTTATGGAGAACAATCCAATGCAAACCCCATTATCCTAAATCTGATGGAATTTGCATAGATGGTACTTTGTATTATACAGCAGGGTTCGATATGCGGATAAGCGTTTCTATGATAGTGTGCTTTGATGTTAGGTCTGAGAAGTTTAGCTTTATCAACATAGATGAATGCATGTTGATGACTGCTTCTTGTACTTTGATCAACTACAAGGGTAAACTAGGTGCACTTCAGTTTTCATTTTTGCCTCCAAAACGTCTTGAGTTCTGGGTTCTACAAGATGCTCAAAAATATATATGGTCCAAAGATATCTACACATTGCCTCCTTTTTGGAACAACGTAGTAGTTAAGCGTACCGAGTTAGTCATTGTTGGAATGACTCCTGGAGGTGAAGTTGTGTTGACACCGTACTGTCTGGTAGACGCATTTTACGTTTATTACTTCAACCTAGAGAGCAAGAGTCTCACAAGAGTTCAAGTACAAGGTCTTAAAATGTTTAAGCGTACGAGAGTTTACACCTCTCTAGACTATGTTGAGAATTTGAAACTTATGTAAGTGTTTAACTCTTGTTTTAAAGATTTCTCTAGTTTATGCTTTCTTATTACAAATGATCAACTTAACATTTACGATAGGCTTTGCCCAAAAAAAAAAAAAAAAAAAACATTTACGATAGGATTTGCCTCCACTCTGAAAATGTACCTAGGCAAAGCCAAGGAATGTAATTGGAAAGTTCATAATTTAAAATTGATTTACTGGATAATGTTATTCCTTTGTTGGTCATACAAGTTCGCTTTATCTTCTAAACTAGATTCTCTTTTCATGCCTTTGCTTCTTGGCCTTCTCAATATACTTTTAAGAACACAATTTTAGTTACACCACTTAACATGCCAATGTTTGTTAAACATTTGGCTTGTTACCTCCCTAATATGGTCTAGAAAATCAATTTAAATGCCACGAATCTCGAGATGGATTCAAATAGTTCAATAAAACTAAAATTGACTCAAGTCGGGAAGAACCAACTGCGTAGGTTTAAGGTCTTGAATTCCATTATTACGTATAGAGATACATATGAGAGACCTTTGTAACCTTTAATTTGTATTAAATACACATATAAAAAATTTGGTATAACAAAGGTTGTCTTATTGAAATTGTGGATCAGGATTTACATGATATTGACAAATTACAAGCAAACAACAAATGGTTAGTATTTGATTTAACCAAAGCAATCTCTGATAAACATTAGAAGAAACTGTAGCATGGCTTTATTGTATGATACACAAAAAAACTATGCACAAAATAGAAGAGAACTAGGATGTTGATGATGAGAACTCACAAGACAGAGACTGGATTTCGTGTTAATCATCATTACTCATGATCTGCTACAAAATAGGCAGCTCCTTTGGCACAGAGATACTCATCGCATCGCATATCCTCGAGACCATGTCTGTATGACAATGCATCCTATTTGTCAGCTGTATCACGAGGTAGTCGCTTTCGGCTGCATGAGAAGAAAGGTATATAACCGGTGCCTCGATCTTCTCAATCAGACGAGTGATGCAGTTGGCAGATTGATGAATGGGGTAAAAGCAACTTGGATTCTTGGCATTACTGGCACAAGAAGAAAATTTACTTAGCAAAGGTTGCTGATTTAATCTTCACAATGAAATGAACAGAGCTTCACCAAAAGCAATCTTAAACACCATAAAGAAGAAGCTATTAAGAAAATATATTGGAACAAGTAATATAAACTTAATAATGCAGATATTTAAAGACGATAACTTGGACAATTGGATTCGCCGAAAGTCCATTCACAAAAGCACAGCCATGCTTTCTACCTGGTTACCATATCATCAATGATACTATTTGGTCAAGAGACTAAGATGCCTACATTATCATCAATTTTAGCGTTCAGCTATGCACAAAATTCTTACTTTATCATACTACAAGAGAACCTAAAATGCAATCAAAAGAAGTGGAATTTCACCATACCAGAACTTCAAGAAGCAATCTTTGTACAGTAGCGTTAGATGAAAAATTTAAGGCCTTGTAGCCCAATAAAAGGTGACCTGGCTCCAAAGTATAATTCATAGTTAGTGTCCTAAGATGATCATCTTAATAGTGTACATTATGCACTCATCTTTTTCTCTCTTTGTATTATGTTGATCAACAGTAATAATATGTTTCCCAAATTCCTCTGTTTTATTGTAATATATGTTTCCAAATGCTTTAAAAAAACAGTTTTGTAAAAGATATGTTTGTGAGTTTTGCTTCTGGAGTTTCGTGAAGAAATAAACCTGACTTCTCTCTAAATGTAGTAGGCCATATACTTGGGAGTTGCACTGAACTTTTGATAGCCTTTAACCACTTTGTTCACTGCGTCCAGAAAGTCTTTCTCACTCACAGCCTTTCTCCTAGCTCCTATTGCATACATTCCGGCTTCTATGCACACACTTCTGATATCAGCTCCTGCAAAACAGATTAACAAAACCCAAGTCAGAACAAATCTCAATGAGACCCAAAAAAACCATGATGAGAGCTCTATGATGGTTGGGATCATTACCTGTTGAATTTGGGCAGAGACCAGCAAGGAGTTCAAACCGGATGTCTCTTTCACAGCTCATGGTTCGTGTGTGAATCTTGAAGATCTGTGTTCTGCCCTCCAGATCAGGCAGACAAAACTCAATCTTGCGGTCAAGACGTCCAGGACGTAAAAGAGCAGGGTCCAGTATGTCAGGCCTGGAGTCAAAAGAGTGAAAAACATAAACATGAGTGCGTCAAGTCAAGCGCTATAATGTGCTTTTGGATTGTGGTCTGACCTGTTTGTTGCCATAAGAACCTTGATGTTACCACGTGCGTCAAACCCATCAAGCTGATTCACAATCTCAAGCATAGTACGTTGGACTTCATTATCACCGCCTACACCGTCATCAAATCTTGCACCACCAATGGCATCGATTTCGTCAATGAACAAAATGCAAGCTTTCTTTGAGCGTGCCATCTGGAAAGACAGTATTATACAAATTCAGAACAACATTAATTAGCTAAGACAACATTAATTCAGAACAAATTTTTTACAACTGACTACCTGAAACAGTTCACGAACCATCCTTGCTCCTTCACCGATGTACTTCTGAACGAGCTCACTGCCAATAATCCTGATAAAGCAAGCACCGGTTCTATTAGCTACAGCTCTAGCCACAAGGGTTTTTCCAGTACCCGGAGGACCATAGCAAAGAACGCCCTTGGGAGGATCTATCCCAAGCCTCACAAATTTCTCTGGATGAAGCATTGGTAGTTCAACAACCTACAATTAACAAAATGCAACAAAACTTTTTAAAACTTATTTCTTGAAAACCAATACCCCAACAGTAAGTTAACAACTCTAGGTGTTAAACTGAGAAGATCAGGACACCAAATTTGATTTATTAACTAAGCTCAACATACCTCTCTAATCTTCTCAATCTGCTCCTTGCACAGCCACCGATATCACAGTAAGTTATGTCCGGTTTCTCTTCAACCGTCATCATGATAGCACGAGGATCAGTCTTTGGAGGTAGAGGAATCTGTATCTGATATTTCTTCCTATCAACTCTGCAATTACAGATCAGAGATTATAACGTTCTTGTCAGTTTTCCTCCATATGAGAAATGTACAGCGACAAAGAGGGTTTGCCTTGAAGCAATACAGAGGGAAACATACCCCACACGCATTCCTACTTCTATCTCAGTGGGAGAAGATTTATCGCCAAGTCCAACAACAAACTGCAGTTAAGAAGAAAAACTAATGTCAGTAATAAACCAAACACCAAAACGTTCTACAACACACAATTGGTCATGCAGCAACATCAACCTATGGATATAGTTTACCTTGCCTATCTTTTCCATATCAACGACATACTTTGCGTCTTCAGTATTTGGACTGATTATCTGTGTGCATGTCGCAACCTGGATAGGAAAAAACGGTTACTTTAATCCCTTATTGTTGCTACGAGAGAAGAAGCAAAATTCATAGAAGTATATAAGAAGAAAAAGCCTACATGCAGAGGCTGCTCGTCAACAATCATCTGTTTATCAGCTATGAGATCCCATTGACTGGGAAGAGATAACCCAGTATTCGTGTCAGACTCCTTGATACCTTCAAATGAAAGTGAAAAGCTTCACTTCAGTCATGCTCTAAACAGAGGTCACTAATTCCAAGCAAGCCCAAGACTTCAGCAACAAAGAGTGCGAACATACTACAAAGATTGTTGATCTTCTCGGCGAGCTCATTGATTTCTTTCTCTACTTTCTTTATACGTGCAGAGTAAGGCCCCTGCTAAGAAATGAAATTTATGAAGGTTTAGCATGAAGACACAAGAAGAGAGGGAGAGAGAGAAGTATGACTATGCCGTTCCTCTCTCCACCGGAAATGTGAAGCATGATGTTCTTCTTTTTCCCGGGTATGTGAAATACTTTCCACAAAGCAGTCCTCAATTTCTACGGAGATTCGTCTATCATCGATAGTACAATTATCCATCACAAGACGGGCTTCTTTGCTTGCAACCTCATTTTCAAACTGGATTAATGCACAACCTAAGCTCTCACCAGTCTTGCGATCCCGGAGGACTCGAACCCTACCATATGCAGAAAAGTTGAGATATCGTGTTTACCAAACTGATAAGGAAACAGAGAGTAAATCACTCACGAGATGACTGTTCCAAAGCGGGAAAAAATGGTGTTGAGGCCATCTGCATCAGTACAAGGATTCAAACCCCATATGTAAAGCAAAGTGCTAGAATCCTCCACAGCCTCAGGGATATCTTCTTTCTGCAACAGCAATACAAGGGTCAAGCATGAAACATGATTTGATATAACATCAAAAGAGAGCAACCGGCTTACAGTTTCAAGTAAAACAGCACTTGAATGGGCAGCGTTTTTGTTGATGACCTCCTCCAGTTCCTGAGGACCAAGTTCTTCATCTGTTGGAACCCAATCATATTCGAGTCGCCCGTCATCTGTGACCTCTTCCTTCGGTTTTCCCTCAGGGGAAGTATCTGGTATCAATTCAGCCAGTTGTGGGAGATCATCAAATGGATCTTCAAGTATATATGTGTGCTCTATTCTTATGTTTTTACAGGGTCTGTTCTTCGCATCAACAGAAACTTTGGCTAGACTAGTCAAAACGTCAAACCCCTCGACAACCTCCCCAAACACCTGAAAAAGGGCCGTAACTGATATATATATAGACAAAACAAAGAATAGGCAGATCATTACTAATTTGTGCTTAGTCCTTACAGTGTGTTTCCCATCAAGATGGTCAAGATCATCGCAAAGTGTGATATAGAACTGAAAAGGAAACAGACAAATCACATAAGGACATACGACACAGCAAAAGTTGACCCACAGGACCCTTCATAAAACTTGGTAATTCAAGCAAAGTATTTGGGCTAACCTGGGAAGCATTCAGATTTTCACCAGAACTAACCATAGCAACAGTGCCAGTCTTTGAATGTTTCAATTCAGGGCAAATCTCTTCGCTGAAGAACCGAGCATGGTCACCTTCAAGAAATCTGGATATTCAACAAAAAGAGGGACAAGATGGGTCAGGATAATATAAAAACAGTCTCCATATCATCAGAAAGTAAGAAAAACATCATCTCACTTGTATATTGAGTCTCCACCAGACCCTGTTCCTGTTGGATCACCTGTTTCTGCTATGGAATCCTTTACTGTGTGGATAAGGCACCCATTGTAATACTTCATACGGCATAGCTTGAGAAAATTATTGCAGGTTTTAGGGGCTTTATCTGTGTAGAGATCAGTCACTATATCCCCTAGGCTTGTCCTAATAAGAACTGACATGTTTGCCAATCTGAAATCAAACGGTGGAAGGCAATTTAAAGTTAGAATACTCGATAAAATGACTCTAATTTGCAGAAAATTGCGAGATTACAACATCAAATCCCTAAAATATCTCCAACAATCCAAATTACTCACTTAAATCCCTAAATTATCTCATTTCCACTGATTTCCTTTGCAAATTCTCCAGAATCGCTATCATATTGCTCATCAAAACATCAAAATGAACCGACAGAGCCAAACTATAACATCGACAACATCAAAGCCCTAAAATATCTCCATCAATCCAAATTACTCGCTTAAATCCCTAAATTATCTCATTTCCACTGATTTCCTACGCAGATTCTCCAGAATCGCTATCATATTGCTCATCTAAACCTCAAAAGGAACCGATAGAGCCAAAGCTATGGAAAATTAGGGTAACAAGTAAACATTAACCAGCAAGCTTCGCGAGCAATGTCTTGGTACTGCCGTAACTGAATCGAGTAGAAGAATAAGAAGAGATGATCGATGAAAGATACAAACTAACCTCAGAAACAGAGAGCTGGAGAAGAAATTTCACGGCGGCGATCTTGTAGTAGCCGGAAGCTGTCGCGACTGAGAGATTTTAGATTCCTCTGTTTCGCTTTTCGTTCTTCTTTACGCGCCTTAGGCCTTCTAAATAAGCCTTGTTTTTTTTTTTTTTTGCTCATTCAAAATGCTATAACATGCGTGTTGTTTTTCAGATAGAAAATATGATAAAACTACGTGACGTTTTCGGTTCCGAAGATCCATTTTTTTTATATTAATTTATTCATTGATTTCAAAATCGAACTGAAACATCCACCATAAATCATTAACTAGACTAGGACGAAACCCGCGCTACGCTGCGGGGTATATTTTAGATAAATTATTTTAATAAAAAATAATTTATAATAACTAAATCATATTGTTTAAAAACTTTATTAAATCAAACACATGTGTGTCTAAAATTTTTTAAGAAGTTGTTTGACATAAAGTGACTTTCCAAAAGGAACAAAATGCATGAGGTGAATGCTTTTTACTCAAATGAGCTTAACAAACTTTGGTTTAGACAAATAAATACGCTAGAGATCTTATAAGTATATTCCGTCTAGCGTATTTACACTTAACACTATCTATAGTGTTAAGTGTCACTGTCATGTAAAGTTTTAAACCTTCTTGAATCTTTTATAAGATGATTGGTTATTAAATGTTCTGAGAAGCTTATGGTTGTAGCTTAAGCTTCTCTTCTTTTCTTGCTCTAGCTTTTGAATCAGCATCTAGCTTTGAAGAATACATTTCAGCGGAAGATTGGATTTTCTATCGATTGCAAAATGTCTATGGTTCGTGAAATCATTATTAAATCAAACACCATGCATGAGGTAAATGTTTTTTTGGGAAAATTGGATATAAAGGACAATTAATTGAACTATTGTCCAACTATGCATTCTATATTCATAATTGGTCATATATTCTTTAATATTGGTCATATATGCTTTAATATAATTAAAATCCCATTATATCCTCAATTTTTTAAAAATCTTGCTTAGCTATTAAAAATTTCCAAAATTAATTAGATTTCTTTCCAAAAACAATTTGAAAAAAATATAGGACAAAAATAACATATATTTACTTTCCAATTTTTTTCTTGTAGATAATTACATATCTTCTTCTCCTTTGATTTTTTTTCTTTTTTTTTGACGGCATCTTCTTCTTCAATTATTTTGACGACAACTTCTTCTTCTTTGATTAGTATAACGACGATACATAATGATGACAACTTCTTCTTCTTTAATTCTTCACTTATTTTGACGGCAACTTCTTCTCTTTTGATAGTTTTCTGGATTTCTTCAATTCTTCGAAGTTTTTGTATCCATGTAAAATTCTAGATTGGATTATTGATTTGTAGTGTTGTGTTGTTTCTAAAAGTCTAATAAAACAAGGTTCAGTTTTCATCTCTCGTGTATGTCTTGTTCTCTCACGTCCAATTCCTATGTTACTTTGTCTCTTTGTCTCGTACATATGACTTTTTCCAAGTCATTCTAAAACAAAGCATTTTGGTTATAACAAAACGTTCATGTGTTACTTTTTCTTTTGCACTAAGTACCGTAAGAAGCAAATTCTAACACTTTTATCACTTGACTTGCTTTCATTATCTTCTTTTGTTACTAAACCTTAATTTGATTACATAATTTTGGGCCTTTTGGACTTATTTTATTGATTGTTGACATTTACAGAGAACTTTGCTTTACATACTCTGAAGATTTCATGATTGTAGATATTTTCATATTTTAAGATTGTTTTTGCTTTTATGTAGACATGGAAAACGAGTGTCTAAAACGCCTACCGATTGTCATTTACTTTATATTACATACTAAATTACATAGAATTTATTTTCTATTTTTTGTAAAATATATAGGAAAATATAAGAATGTGTTTTCTAACAATTTTAGAACATGAGTAAATGTTAGAAAAGATATTCTAATTTTTCTAGAAGAAAAAGCAAAGTATAGAATATGTATTCTAAATTTCGTAGAAATTAGCTATCTAACTATCGTAGAACAGAAATGCGTTCTAAATTTCATAGAACATGTGCATAGAATACATTATCTAAATTTTATGGAACATGTGCAGTGTATAGAATACACATTCTAAATTCAGAAGGTATAAACTAAACTTCGTAGATCATATTTTATTTATCCAAAATGGCAACAAAACAGATATATTTTCGACGTTATAAGTATCCTCATGACTTCTTCTTCATTTGCCTACAAATAGTTCTAAATTTTATTTGAAAACTAGTTAAATCAATTACAAAGGGTAAATTAGCAATATGTGACATTTAATCATAGAATGCATAGATGGACAATAGTTTAATTATTTATCCTTTATATCCAATTTTCCTTTTTTTTGGGAAAATTCCATATAGCATGTCTTGTTTTTAAAATAAAAAAAAATCAATAAAAATAGTTTAGTGAAATTATTACATGTTTTCCTTGTTCCTGCGTCAATTTTCTTATGTGTCTTGGTTATCTTCACCTGCAATTTATATTTTTTACAATTTTTTAATAATTATCCAAAAGAAGAATTTGATAATTTTATTATAGTTTATTGGATGATTTCTATCATCATAAAACCAATTTTTACAGTTAGTTAATTTTGTTTTCTTGGGCAAATGATACTTAGTTCATAGAAAATTAATTCTTAGTTAATTTATTGTAAACTAATTTGATCATAAGAAAAACTATTAGCTTAAAAAAATACTTCACGTTTTATGATGTTTTGAACAACCCCTCATGGAAGCTTTGAACAGTCCAAACAAAGTTTGATTTTTTTTCATCCGAGTAAGTCTTGGTGTTGTTCATCTTTATAAACCAAAATTTGCATTCGGAAGCAAGCAATATATCTCCATATGAAGTTGTTAATTTGTTTGTGAATTTTTAAAAAAAATCTCAATGCAATCTTGTATCAAAAGAACTAAAAGCAACATGTCTTTAAGCTAATAGTTTTTTTTGTTTCTTATGATCAAACTAGTTTTACAATAAAATATCCAAAAATATATATTTATTCAATGAATGAAATTTTATTTGGAGATAAAATCTTAATCGACCTTTGATTAATTTTGGCCCCCTAGACACCATTTACTTTGATTTATCATCCAAAGGTTTTTCCACCGATTTATAAAAAAATCATGGAAACAATAAAATGATCAATAATCTTCTCAGATATTCATACATCCCAAAAAAACAAACGAATTGTAATCACCACAAGAGTTTTCTCTCTTTCTTCTACACATGTATGTCCTATAAAACATATTTATCTATCTCTCTATAAATATTATACTCCCTCCGTTTCATAATATAAGTCGTAGATTAAGAAGATCTACTTTTTAAAAGTTCAACCAATCATAAAAGAGACGACATAATATAAATAATCATAAAATATTAAAGTAATATATAATTTGCATTGAAACTCGAAAACGACTTATATTGTGAAACAAAAAACTTTATCCAAAATGCCTTATATTATGAAATTGAGGGAGTATATTTATACACAAAGATTGATAGTAACAAGACCATTGGATTGTTTTTTTTTTTTTTTTAACACTTAACTGCATAAATTAATGAATGGTCGGAACAGAGTTGAGTATATTTGAAATACAAACAGGAACAGAGGAATGAAAATTAAAATTGGACAAACACCATCGTTGATTCCTCGCAAGCCTGTCAGCTAGTTGATTTGAAGATCGGGGAACCCAACTATATTCAACAGCTTCAAATCTTCTTTCCCAACTTTTAATTTCATGGATCCAATTGAGAATATCAAATCGCATTGAGTTTCTTGTCAACAAATTGACTAAAATCTGGTTGTCTCCTTCCAGTATCACCTTCTTAAAACCTCTTATCCAGAGATGTTGCATAGCATGAATAATACTTTGACATTCCGCTTCCAGCGCCGATTGAACAAAATCCCCTAAAGCTTGGCCTGCTCCTTTGAAGCTACCTTGAGAATCTCTAATTATCCAACCCACAGTAGCTCTTGAGTTAATGTTTAAGAAGCTGCCATCATAATTACACTTAATCCAGCCCTCCCTCGGCTTCTTCCATCGTCTTCGATTTGTACCATGATCAGAATTAGCACTTTGTGAAGGACCTCTTTTATTTACCAAGTGAATATTCACCGCAGCATATTCTTCCGCTTCTTGTCAAGGGTGATGGCTTTGGTACAGTCTTCTTCGGCTTGAAGAAAGTTGTATGTAAATGATTTATCAAGGCAATGCCACATGGAAAGATTGCTCACTAAAAATGTTTTTAAGGATCTGAGAAACAATTACCCTCCAACTTCAAGATATGCAGCAGCTCTGTTACTGTGATAGGTAGCGTTGTTGTCACTTAGCTTTATAGGTTCTGAATAAAGACCAATAGCTTTCTGCCATTGTTTATCTTTGAATTAATGCTTGGTTACCCTGGTTTACATAATCATGGGACACAGATAAAAAACCACATTAGATTAAGGATGATAATGCCATTCAGAAAATGAGATATGCAATGAGAATTAATTGACCTTCTCTTTGGCAATCTCAGCTGACTCTTCTTTGCTGATAGTCTTTTTAGCAAATTTGGGATCGACAACAATGCTCTGAGTACTCTTGCAAAGATGCATACATTGTCTGCACCGTATCTCGAGTACTCTTACAAATATTTGAGCACAAGACTTAAAAAGCCTTCCAAAACTATTTTACAAACTCAAGAAGAACAGCTGCCACAAGCAAAAACCTTTTCAAGTTCTGTGAAAATCACCATTTCAATAATCGTCTCCTTTGGAAATAATCTCTTTGCAAGTTGGTCGTAACAAGATTGTATGCTCAAACTGAGAAATATAGCTTCCTTTCACATCACACACTGGAGGACATGGCTATAAAAGTAACCCAAAGAAACCTACTTTCATCAAAATGTTCTTGAACACAAGAATCAGAGCGTCTAGTCTTTAGGAGTTTACCTCAATAATGCCAGAATCACAAAGATTCTTTAAAGCCATCAAGACCAAGGCGGTCCAAATAGCGTCTGCAGAAGGCTAGTGTGGAGAAGTTCTTGTTAATAGTGGCAAGGAGTTGTTTTGCTTCTCATATACTTCCTAACTTGACGATGAACTTCTGCTGCTTGGCGAAGAGAGTTATATATCGGCTTTTGCAGCCGCTCCATCTCTCTCTTCTCTTCAGATGTTGTTCTCCACAAATTACTACATTACAATATACAGACTTAGCTAGCAAGATAAAATGTACATAGAATCTAGTCTAGATAAGGTATGTGAACTTACTCATCCTTGTACTGTTGGATTTCAGCTTCAGGAAAATCTCCAGAAGGGAAGAGCTCAAGAACAGGAATTGAAGGAGGATCAGTCTGTTGAAGGATACTCTTCTTCTTCCTATAAACCATCATCAGCTTTTTGAGCAAGATCATCAAAGCAAACACTGAAGATTAATAGAGAAAGAAACAGAAAATGAACTTCTCACTTGCTTTTACTTTTCTTCTTCTTCTTCGTCGAAGCCTCAGCTAAAATGAAAAGATTAAACAACAATAAAAGAAATAAGCTTTATCATTGTACACCTTAAATATCTAAAAGCAAAAAAAAAATCCTATCTTAACAAATGATATAGAGGAAATTGAAGCTAATGAAATCAGAAATATTCTTGCTAACGTGCTCTATGTCCATGGCGGCACCCTCATCGGAAGCTGAACCTCCAACAACAAGGAAACTCGGCCTGCACTATTGGCCAGGAGCAGAGGCATAAGCACCGGAGGTTTCACAATTGGAAGAGACTGTACGGCGAGGCAACCACGATTCCACGGTGGAAAGATCGGTCGCCGGCGGTGGAGTTTTAAAATCCAAGGGTTTTTAGATTTTTTTTCTCTTGTAAGTGAGCTAAACAAATGTTTATTTTGAAATTTGATCTGATGTGGAAAAATAGAATGATATTAGTGGAAGACAAAACTGAACTGTATTATTTGAAATGTTCTGATTGGATATCCATTTTGCTAAGGTGTCTCTTCCAAAACACTCCAAAAAGTTAAGGTGTCAGTACTGGAGATACTTTCGTTATTTTTATTGTATTGATTAAAACAAAGCAAAAGTTTTACAGCAAAAGTAAGATGTCCAACATATCAAATCTACTATATGTCTATATCCCAGTTAGTATTAAAAAAGAATTAATAAAACACATTTAATAGAAAAAAGAAATAATTAATCCAAAACAATTATTGCAAAACCAACGTTGTGTTAAATAGGTTGACAAAAAAAAAACAAAAAAAACTTTGTGTTAAATATATTTTGCTATGCGTTATAATCTCTGAAGTAAAATTTTTTTTAAATACATTAAAATTTATAAATGAACCATAAAAATATATACTAACATTCTCACAAAGTAATCTAAAATTAGTTCTTATAAACCCATCATTATTTTTTAAGTTTTTTTTCAGGTGTTTTCACTTACAAATAAAATTACAATAATATCATAAATACATTTTTTCTAATTAAATTAATATGAAATAATTAATATTGTTATTTAGAACTTCAACACTCGTTGTTTATTGTTTAATATTCAAGCGAAATGGATTAACTTTTTTTATACATGTCAAACACTAATTGACCAATAACACACGTAAAACTTGTTAGTTTTCCTTTTTTTTTGGTTAAGACAAAAAGAAAACTTAAAGAAATTTTAGATATACACATGTAAATAACTAATACATGTAAATATGTTTTTAAAAAAAATATTTTTTTTATTTCGTAATGGAAAATAAAGTTTTCTTTTTACCCGTGTCAACATCATATCGATAAAGTTGACACGTGTTGCGATCATATGAGTTACTAATTTTTAAAGCTAAATTTTATATAATAAAATAATAATATCCAAACATACATCTACACATTATAACCAAATTTTAAGAAGAACAATGAAGAAGTGAATTTCCACACTTCTTGAGATACCGAAACTTTACTCGTCAACGGTTTAGTAAACTTGTTTCTTTTCTTCTCCGGAATCAATCCCAAATTGATGAGATCGTCATTCTTAGCTATTATTTCTTGGATGAAGCTTCATAACCGTCTAATATTGTTTGATGTTATTCAATATCTTACTTTGCATCAATTCATGGATTTTTCTTAAATATGCTATACCCGGATCTCAAATTTGTTGGTCAAGACACCATATAATTCTTTGGATTAAGTCTACTAATCGGAATCTTTGATATAAGACACCATAAAGGATCAAAACACCCTTCACAAAGATAACAAATTCATTTTGAATGAAATGAGTACATCAACTCACTAGTCTCACTCCATTGATGGACCATGAAGATCAGCTTTTATGTATTGTAAGATAAGATGGTAATCATCAATCATCACTAAATGAAGAGGTGGAAGTACAAGAAGATGACCAAATGATTGATTCTAGGCAATATATGAAAGGATTTCGAGATGAGATTACAATGAATTTATGGAATACATTGAAAAATGCAAAGCATTTGGACCATTGATTGATAGAAAGATAAAACAACTTTTGAGTGTGTGATCAATCGATATTTGTAAAACTTTTGTCTTAGTGCAATCGAAGGTTTAAACAGAAAAATATTATTATTATTAAAAGAAAAGTCCTATCTTATTATATAAAGTACGGTTTTCAAAGTTAGTAACTCGCATGATCGTGACACGTGTCAAGTCTATCGATCAGATGTTGACATGTGTCAAAAAATATTTAACTTTTTTTATTAACGAAATAGGAAAACTAAAAAAAAGAATATTTACATATATTAATTTATATATCTAATTTCTAAAATTCGTTAACTTTATTTTTCTTAACCAAAAAGGAAAACTAACAGTTTCTCTTTACATGTGTTATTGGTCAATTAGATTTGGCATGTGTTAATTATTTTTTTTAAATCATTTAGTATGGATATTAACAAATAAACAATAACCGTTGAAGTTTTAAATAACAATATAAGTTTTTTTTTTTCTCATCAACAATATAAGTTATTTAACATTAATTTAATTGGATAAAATTGTATTTATCATCGTAATATAGTGTTTTATTTGTCAAATGAAAACACAAAATTCTTACAAAAAATAATGAGCTTATAAGAACGAACGAATATTTGAATATTTGATAAGAATATTAGTGTGGTTATACTTATATTTTATTTTAAGAATTTTAACGCATGTAGTCATAATTATAAACACAAAATATATGGGAAAATGGCTTATATAATTGAATTTACGATTACTTTTTTTTTTTTGGTAAGTGGAGGGGAGACATTGTCTCCCTCATATTATTAAAATAAAATTAAATTAAAACCGAACATTACTTAGAAACGTAGTCCCAATAACATCCTCGAGCAAAATCGGATTTACTACATCCGGACAATCCTCTAGCAAAAGCAAACCCAAATCCAACGAAAACGCATAGGCTGCTAATCCATCGGCTAAACGATTAGACTCCCTATACACAACGAAAACTAATTTCGATTACTTAATGAGAATGTTAATATATATTTTTAATGATCTATTTATTAATTTTAACTCATTTAAAATTTGTTTGCCATGAGGTAAAACTAACTTATGAGATTACGTTATATAGAAAAACTATATTTTAAACAATGTTTGTTTTCCATAATTTTTGTGGATTTCTAATATTTATAAATGTTTTGTTATTTGTTAATATATTTAATATTAACTAAGTTATAGATTTGATATGATATACATACGATTTTGATATAAAATTATTATTAGAAGGTTATCCATTAAGATGAACTATGAAGACTTAAAATTAAGTTTATTATGATCCTATAGATAGTTAAATTATATTGCAAAATGGAATGTGTAAGATTAAAATTTCGTTTTTTAAAAATTACTAAGTTAAATATATAAAAATTGTGTCGGTTACTATTTAAGATTTAAAAATCACCAATACGAAATAGTGTGTAGAATTAAAATTCAGTTTATTACGATGAAATAAATAGTTAAAATGTATAGCAAAATGAAATGTTTAAGATTTAATTTTTGTTCAAGACAAAAAATACTAAATTATTAAATATTAGGAAAAGTGTATGGATTACTATTTATTATTCAAAATTCATATATCAGCGATAAAAATTTATTTTTATATATTACACCCGCCTATTTAGGCGGGCCTTATCTAGTATTTAATATTTGAAAACAAAACATGGAATTTCAAAAATGGAAAATTTCTAATATTAACTAGACAAAGAAGAATGGAAATTTTTTTTAATACGTTAAAATTTATAAATTAACATAAAAATATATACTAACATTCTCACAAAGTAATCTAAAATTAGTTCTTATAAACTCACCATTATTTTTTAAGTTTTTTTTCTGATGTTTTCACTTACAAATAAAATTACAATAATATCATAAATACATTTTTTCTAATTAAATTAATATTAAATAATTTATTTTGTTATTTAGAACTTCAACACTCGTTGTTTATTGTTTAATATTCAAGCTAAATGGAATAACTTTTTTAAGTTTTTTTATACATGTCAAACACTAATTGACCAATATAACACACGTAAAACAAAAAAGAGTTTTTTTGTTAGTTTTCCTTTTTCAGGTTAAGACAAAAAGAAAAGTTAAAGTAATTTTAGATATACACATGTAAATAACTAATATATGTAAATATGGTTTTTTAAATAGTTTTATTATTTCGTTAACAGAAAAGAAAGTTTTTTTCCGTTTCAACATCTTATCGATAAAGTTGACACGTGTCGCGATCATATGAATTACTAATTTTAAAAACCAAACTTTATATAATAAAATAATAATATCCAAACAAACATCTACACATTTATAACAAAATTTTAAGAAGAACAGTGAAGAAGTGAATTTCCACACTTCTTGAGATACCAAAACTTTACTCGTCAACAGTTTAGTAAACTTGTTTCTTTTCTTCTCCAGAATCAATATGAGATCGTCATTCTTAGCTATTATTTCTTGGATGAAGCTTCATAACTGACTAATATTGTTTGATGTTACTCAATATCTTATTTTGCATCAATTCATCGATTTTTCATAAATATGCTATACACAATATATTATTTCTTGGATGAAGCTTCATAACTGACTCAAATTCGTTGGTCAAGACACAATATAATTCTTTGGGATTAAGTCTACTGATGATCAGAATCTTTGATATAAGACACCATAAAGGATCAAAACACCCTTCACAAAGATAACAAATTCTTTTTGAATGAAATGAGTACATCAACTCACTCCATTGATGAACCATGAAGATCAGCTTTTATGTATTGTAAGATGGTAATCATCAACCATCACTAAATGAAGAGGTGGAAGTACAGTATGATGACCAAATGATTGATTCTAGGCAATATATGGAAGGATTTCGAGATGAGATTACAATGAATTTATGGAATACTTATAGGTATAATCTATACTAGTATTTTTGCTGTCATTTTGGTGACGGGTGGGTAAAAACGCTTCCGGGTTATTTGGATACCCGACCCGTTTACAAATTTTAGTCATAAAAAAATTGTTGGGTAGGGTTAAATTTAACCCAACTCATACACCAGATATTCTATATTTAATAATTTAGATATTTAGAAGATTTGATTAAGATTTAGAATAATGATTCTCTTATCATCTTTGTTTGATTTGTTTTAACTGTTTTGAATCATCATATAATACATAAAATAAAAAAAAAAAAAAAAAATCTGCATATACTGTGATTCGAAATTTTAAAAACGGACATATATTATCCAATTGACGAAAATGTGTGTTCAACGTTCTACATCGATTAAAATATTTAGATAATGAGTCAGAATCATATCATAAATAAGATCAACATTAATAAAATAAATGGTTTTTTTGGCGGGACGAGTTTGGCGGAACGA